CTGTGTAAGGACTCGGCCCCTGCCCGGCGCTGATTGGCTGAGGTGAGACAGGACACGCCTCTCCCAACGGCTGTGGCAGGAGCGGTGGACCCGCACCCTGGCCCCTAGCGCCTCTGCAGCCCAGCAGCCAGAGGTCCACCGACTGGCAATTGGGAACTGCTGACCTAGGGCAGCTGACCCTCTGGGTATAGAGGCCAGGTCGCTAGGTCTGTAGGTGTTTGGCTGTTGCATGGTAGGATGGGGCTGATGCGTAAGGGGACCACGAGATGGGAGAAGGCAAGCGGGCCCCTGGCAGACGAGGGTGGAAACGTAAAACTGGGAACAGGCTGTTGTGACTGGCGGATGCCTTTACTAACTCGCTCTCCTCCCTTGTGCTCATTCCAGGTTGCCCTGACGGTGATGGCCATGCAGAGATACCACCTGGGGACTGACATGTCTCTCTTTGCCACGGATCAGTTTGCTCCTGACCCCAATACGGGCTACCCAGGCTACCCCACCGGCAGCGGCATTGAGAACACGGAAACCTATCAGAGCCCACCATTTACTGAGACCATAGACACCAGCCCCAAAGGTTACCAGATACCAACTTACTAAAGGACGGAGGGCCCAGCAAGGTCATGTACAAATAGACAAAGTCTCCTTATGGTGCAGTACAGTTATCTGGTTGATTGCAAGTGTATTAAGTACCATTTCCTTAATGTGGCGAGTCAGTGCTGGGTTACTTACTATTAGCTAGTTGTGCAGTGAATTCTGTACAGTCGTATTGGTTCTTGTCTTACCTGTCTAAGGGTTTTTTATAAAAGCAGTGTTCCCTCTAAGTGTCAAACAGAAGGAAGGTTGTTACTACACAAAGCGACACACGGGCAAAACACCACAATTCGCCGTGACTTCTTTGAATGCCAAACGTTAGCACTGAATTTTGTTGAGTGCCCAGGAAAGTAGACTTTAATTCTCCCAGTAGAAAACACAATAGCTGATGAGTTGATAGTTATCTTGTTCTTCCAGAGCTAACACAGAATTGTTCTCCGTTTTATAAACCCAGAGGGCAAACCCGCTCTCAGACCTTCCCCCTGCAAGAAGCCACGACAGAGCTTTCTTGTGCTGGAGTCTATGGAAAGTGCCAAATTTAAAAAGAAAAAAACCCAATAATCTCTGTGCTGTTTTTAAGTTCTGTGTATTTACTGTAATAAGAAGCTGAACAGATGTTACACACTTCAGGTTAGGGGTTACACATGTTTTTGCTTTATTTAAAAAACATTGAATAATCCAATCTCTTATCTGCTTCTACATTGTGACTATGGAGGATATTAAAATGACCGTTCTCGGCTTGGGTCTTTGGAGGAAAACAATTCTGCAAATGATTGTCTGCTAATTGGAAAGGCCACTTCTCGGTGGAAAATATGGTATGTTACAGTTTGACGCTTAGGTAATGTGTGTCAAACTGAAGAGTTTGCCAATTTACAGTGGGTTCCTAACAGTGAGATGGAACAATTATTTACTCCATATTTCAAAGTTGCCAACACAAGCGGTGTGGGTGTGTTAAAACAGTGACTCAACTTTAAAATCTAATCAATTGGAAAGCAGAGCCTGTTTTTTTTTATATTACAAGTGCCACCATCTGCCATTAACAGAAGCAAATAAGCTCAGGTGTGAATATATTATTATACTGCAGCCACTAGAAATATGTAACCATTCAGCTGTTATAAAGCAAGACTGAAAAGCCATTCAGGTTGATTGCATGTGAGCACAGTAAACGAAGAATAAACATTAACCCTGACCCCTCTCTTCAATTAATAGGAGAGCATATAAAATGTGATGGGGCAAATGCCCGAATTTTAGTGATCAGCTGTAAATTGTCTTATTTGACTCGAATGAATGTAAAACATACAAAACCCAGTAGACAGTCTCCCCCAGAAATATCCTGACCCAGATTATAGTCCCAGGTTAGTCAGATGACCAGTAGTGGTGGCTTTGTTGCATTTTGTCTCTGAGGACAATCTACAAGGATAGCAGACACATCTGGATGAGATAAACATTGATTCTCCTCCTGCCAGGATGGAAGCATTGCTCTGTATTTGAGATTATCCATTGGTACCAAGGATCAATTTTACTTGGTTAATTTTTTTTATAGCAAGAGCCAGTTTAAAAGCGTATTTCTTGTTTGCACAGTGTGTGTGTGTTGATTTCTGATCTCAGATTTAGCTACTAGTTAAAATGACTTTCCCCCACTTTTCTTGTAGTAAAACAACAGTTTGTCATCACTAATGCGGCTCACTTCAACAGCTGTTCTTAGGGCAAATCAACACGTTAATGAACAGTGACACGTCGCCAGAAGCAGTTTCTGTCACTGACACCACGGAGTTTCTTGAACTCCTGACGATTCAGAAAGAATTAAAATGTTCATTACCAGGGAGTTGCAGTCCTGGCACCTGAAAGATGCCAGCTGAGCTGCCAGTGTCTAGAATAATAAACTCAGCAGGTTTTTCACATCACATTGACCAAACTATAACTTTTCCCTGTTCTGCTTCAGTCATGTTTGAGGCTGCTTGGAGATGAAGTTGCACCCAACCTACACTCCAGATGCCTGCACACATTTTTGCATCAGTCAGTCCCACTGCCAAATAGTGAAGGAGCTGAGGACAAAGCACAGACTGTTTCTCTGCTTTAAGCCACGTGCCTCCTGCCGGCCTGAAGCAGGGAGGTGTAACAGGCAAACTTAGGGAAGGTTGCAGTTGACGGGCAAGCCCTGAGAAATCCTCACAGTAAGAGGACGAAGAACATCGGAATCCCAGTACATTATACACCTAAATTAATTGCATGACCATCGTGCTTCTCTTGCTGGAAAAAATCAAATCAGTCTTGCTGGAAAAAATAATCAAATTATTTTCATACAGGGTACAGTCGAACTGTAGCAATATTTTCCTTAGAGGGAACACTGAAAAATTAGCAGCACAAAACATACTTGTGTTAATATTTTAGCAAAATGATAATCAATTTAAATGTTTACTTAAATTGATTGTACATGTGAGATGATGTTTGTTCAGTACACTGTATTTTTTCTAACTATTTACCTGTTTCCTTGTAACTGTAAAGAACTAAGTTCTGTCTGACTGCTAGAACTGTCTGACTAGTGGTGTGCATGTGCTAAATATTACAATATGAATGTAAGCACCTGAGGCCTACATTGCATTTTCTCTCTTTTCCCCCTTCCCCAAATGGAACACACAATGGATTTCCTCCAAGGTCTCTTACAGCAAGAGTAGTCAATGCAAAAAACAAATACAGCTCTAGAACTGCACATAGACACCCCAGGTAGTCACTGGCCTGGAGGGCAGCAACCATGAAGTATTGCTTGGGGAAGAGAGGCAAAGCAAAATGTGGCTGTGGCTTAAGACCTACAGGTGTGAACTTCACAAGTAAGGGGCACCATTGCTCTCCTGAGCACCCCACTTTGTTTTCCAATCTTGGCCCCCTCGAGGAAGCGGGCTGCTGTTCAAGGTTTGGGGAGGTGGCTTGAGCCCCAAGGAAATTTGAGTGGCGGCAGGCTTAGAATCAGAGGCGTACAACGCTCTAACCTACTCAGTGAGGGACTACAGCCGTATTCACTCAGCTGAAAGGCCTGTCCTGCTCTGTCTACTGCAGCCTGAAACCTTTCCCTGTCCCCCAAGGGTTCCACTCCCTGCTGTATCAGTGCTTAAGAGACTAAAAGCAAGTGCCACGTTCTAGCCTCAAAGCGGATCTGCCTTCCACATTAGGGAAGCAGGGGGTAGTCATTGCACACCTAGCTGCCCCTTCTAGGCAACCATGATGAATTTCAGCCACTCCCATAAGAGAAGTGTAATTAACGTGCTGGATCGCGCAAGTCACACCTGCCTTGGAAACAGTATTTACAAAACTTCTAAGGAAAGAAATGTTCTGGCATGTTTGCCAGCAGGTTGATGTTCCTGTTTCACTTTATTTTACTGGGTAGTAACATAGATGATTAGTCCTTAAAGAACCTTCTGAATTACTCAATAGGCTTAAAGGTAGCGTAAAGACATCTGACCTCACTGCAGCCAGTAAAGATACGTGCCTACCACTTGCATGAAATCCTGTTTCCAAGCAGTTTGCAAGATTTCAAGGTGTTCCCTGTGGCCGTTTGAAGTGTCGCTAGTGCTGTGTATTAACTGTTGTGGGTCGCACATCTTCAGTGTCAGTGAATTGTGAAGTAGACGAGTGTACACAGCTACCGATGTAATTAAATATATTCTTATGGACTATGGCTAGCAAATTACTAAATGTCAGTGTAACAATTGTAGTACATTATTGGGGGGGGGAGGGTTCACGTATTACTTCAGATCACCTTTTCATGCACGTCTTGCAGAATAGTATTGACTCTCCCCGACTTTCTGTTGTAAATTCACTGGGGTTCAGTAGATATTAGCTGCTTTTCTTGGAACGATCCAGACCAACTCTTATAAGCATGCCTGAATTTTGTTGTGAATTTGAGTGTCCTGCTACTTGCTCCCCATATGCTGTTTTTGCAGGCTGTTTAAATATATATTTCATAGTGTTCCCTAGAGATCTCTAAAAGCCCCGTAGACAATTTACCATACAGAGGGCCAGTGTATACTACTCTCAGGCTAGTTTGCTGAAAGCTTCTGCATAGTTAGTATAAAATCTATATATATATATATATATATAATATCTCTCACATATGCCTTGCTGTAGGGTTGTTGTATATAAATTGCTCTGATACAGGATACCTTGGTGCAGCAACAAAGATGCATCTCTAGACCGAGGTTAACAAGCATACAGCATGCTTTTGTGCCAGCGTCATTGTTGGTTTTGCATGTTCAACATTGTAGGGTTGAAAGTATGTTGGCAATGTCGCACTGAGGAAAAAGCATCACTTCCTACGTTTTCATTATTCCCAGTGAGGCAAGACGACATGATCAGCTGCGGTATAGTAGAGAAGTTGAGTTTTTTTTCTTTGTCCATAACATGTCTTTGCAATAGTGTACAGCTTGGTCCCTATGCTAGCAATGTCACCACCATGGAATTAGGGTTTGTTTTTTGCACAGATGCTTTGAAGTAGGCCTTTTCCCTGGCCTCTCCAGTTAGTCCTTACCCTACTTTGCAGCTCTGTTGAAGATTAGTTCTTGTTACTACTTAGCACTCACTAGTCGAGCATGTACTTTTCCTGTTTTTCCTCCGGTCTGCATTCCCTGTAATTCACCCTCCCTCGTCTCCCACCACAGATCAAAATGTTAGTGCGTGCAGAGTATGGTTTAGTTTTTAAAGTTTGCCTGGATCCCACCTGCAGCGTGTAGATGAACTGTAGTCATCCCCCTCCGTAGCAGGGCAGCACTGATCACTCAGTCATTTCTGCGGCATCGATATTTCTTTTCTATAGAGCCACCTTACATTTTGCAAACTCACTTTTTGGCCTTTTTTCTACAGCGTGTGTGTGGGAAGCCCGTTAGCCCATTTCCGGTATATCTGTATTCATGGTACTTTAACAAACAGTGCTTCTTGGAGCCTTCCGTGTCACAAAACCCCTTACCACAAGGCTTAAAAGATGGCCTTTTAATGCACCAACTTGAAGCCCAAATTTAGCTGCCTGTATTTTGTTGCAATATGCATTTAACCTCAGATTCTTTAATCGTTTTTATTATTGAACTGATACCAAATGTGGTTTGCGAATTTAATTTTTTGCAGATACCTCTTTACAAGCAGACCGCTTCAAAGAGTTGCAGTTGTCAGTAATCTTACGTGCATTGTAGTATAGAGTGGACTATGTCTGGGAGTAAATAAAAATGTTTACAATTTTTGTATTGATCTTTTGAAAGAACAATCTGTGATTATGTATTTTCGGTGTCCGTGTACCAACTGCAACTTATTTTCAATAAAGATTTAAAAATGAGTAGACTTGGCCCAAAAACTCCAATAATACTTTATTTAATCATGTGAGCACATGGAAACAATGAACCTGCATCAGCAGATCCATGGGTCACTCCAAGGAAACTCGCAGTAGCGCTTCAAGTTCTCACGCCCCTAAGTGGGGACTATGTAACTGTTTGCTAACACAGAAGAAACTAACTGAAAATAAAGGAAAGACAGAAGATGCTCCTTCAAAGAATACGCATTTCATCACCTCTGAATGTCACAAACCAAATGAAGAGGCATGGAGAAGGCAGTTTACATACACAGGTCAATCGCTTACAAGTATCATGGGCAGTTAACATCAGAACAGATAAGCATGTAAGTGCTTTCATAGTAGAAGTACTTTTTAATTGTGATAGCATGACCAATGTAAAAATGCCAAATTCTATTGCATGGGAAATAGAGATTTGAAACTTAGGAATAATCATTTGAAAACATTACCCTTTGCTATGTATACATGCATAATATACACAATCATGCAACAAGATATACCCCTTAGAAAAATCATTTTTCCTCCCTTGTTTCAGGGGATATAGCCTGGCCCTGTGAAGAATGGTACAAGATCAGGTATTCAAAGATACCCTGAGTTATTTGAAAAGAAATAAAGCACAGATAGTGCCCTCTGGCATCAAGCAAAATCAATAATAAATGAGAAGGAAAAGATCATTCATTTCTGTAGCCAAGACTAATGCTTCAACAGCTCAGACTCAGTTTCATAAAAGTGCTGCTTAAATAAAAGCAGGGTCTTAAAGAAATTCAAATTAATTTCTATTCTTGTGTGTTAAAAATGAAATGGGGTCTACCGTGACCCCAAGCTACAGCTTGGAACATGCACGGCAGGAAAGTTTGACACGCCCTTGGTATTAAAGCTGCTTCAGATGATTAACAGACCCTCCCCAGACCCTAGAGTTGGGACTGATGGATGCAACCTCCAGACCGTTGTCACCCAGGGAGTCCTAGGAAGTAACACACTCCTACAATTCTGAACAGCTTATCCTCGGCAGTGCAGACCACTGTAAACAGATACATGCACTTAAAGGCACTGCAGAACAACAGACTGGTCAGCGACCAGCAGCATTTCATGTCCCACTACGCTGTTTGTTTGGCGCTAACGCCATTAACGCACCCAAGAAATCAAACCTGGCAGTTAAGTAAAATGATGGGGAACAAAATGCCCTTTGCAAAGCATAAAGCTTTGAACACTACTGGTCTCCATGCCATACTGCAAAGGAAGTTTCTTCGAAGAACACAATTACATAGAAGGTCAGAGGCAACTTCAACTCGCAGGTTTAACTAATCAGAGAAGGATCAGTCCAATTCAAGTAGAATCATTATTTCAGCTTTCAACTAGGAATATTCTTTGCTTATAAATAGCCAGGTGTTTGTAGCATACGTTTTAATGGTCTTATTCACCAAAGTAGCAGCTTCCATCTCTCTCCCTTACTCTGCCCCAGTTACCTCCCTCACTCTTTGTGGCCAAAAAGAGAGCGTATCAGCTGTAACCAGAATATGAACTATAGCGCTGTTACCGCCAATAGCAAGGATACATTTCCACTGGTTCGCTGTAGTGTCTTGCATGGTAGAAAGTGGCCGTTTGCCTGACAGACCTGCAGCATTAGCCTGTTTCTAATGAGGTGTTCGGGAAGCTAACATTGTGGGTGTTAATTAGATACAGGTGCTAGTCCAATGATCTCTTCATACAGCACTTTCAAGCCGGGCTGCACTGAACAGCCTCCCATGCTAACCCGCATACGACTACCCAACTGGCCTGCACAGCTGGCCGCACGACACTGTCAAACCTTGTTCCAAAAAGTGCACATTTAAGAGTGAGCCTGGTTTATTGGTCTTCGTGGGAGCTAACTGATGATTCTGCTGATTGCTTGTAAGGAAGGGAATTCTTCATCCTCAATATGCAAAGCTTTGTGGGAGGCTAGGTCCTGCGGCATCAGCACTTGCTGACAGGTCGGACAGATGCTGCAGTCCAGCTCAGAAGAGTCCATTTGCCAGACATTCTTCTTGTTCTTTTTGGGTTTGATGGGGCCTTGTTTCTCCTTGACTTTGAAGTCATTGTGAGCAGAAAGCAGCTCTTGCTGCTTAGCTGCGTCTGGCAACAGCACCAACAACTCATTAAAGATTTTCATGAAGTTCTCTCCAAGTAGTTCTCGGCAGCTTTGGTAATACTGCGCCGCAGAAATGAGCCCCTTCAGGTCAGAGAGAATCAGGACGATTAGCAATGAAGAGAGGCGGCTGACCGGGGTTAAATTCATCCCTCTATACCTCTAAGCCAGGGGTGGGCAATAATTTTCATGGGGGCAGGGAGGGACTTCACAAATTCTGGCACATGATCTCGGGCCAGCTCTGGGTCCCCCAGAAGGGGCAGGGCCTCAGGCAGGAGGCTGCAGAAACCGTGCGAAGGTGAAAGAGGGACAGTGTGTGTGAAACAGACTGTGTGACACATTGAGTGTGGCAGTAAGTAGGTGTGTGTGTCACAGACTGTGTGTACAGGGTGGGGGGCACCCTGACTTCAGCACTCCCCTCCTCCCCCCACTCTGCACAGCTAGCAGGAGAATCCTGGGAATAGCTCAGCTGCAGGACGGAACAAGGTTTGGGGGAGGGGGGGGCGGGAGAGCTGGAAGTCCGCACATCTACTAAACAGCTGGGCAGGCCGGAGAGGAATGCTTGGCAAGATCAGGCCCGCGGGGCCAAATTTGCCCACCCCTGCTCTAACCACTCAACTTCACTGTTCATCTTTTGCCACAATGCTCAGTGAGCGGACTACCGAGTAGGACTTTAAATACATCCAAGCGTTTCCACCACTTACCTGTCTGAACTGTCCAGAATGAGTTTTAAATTTATTGAATCTGGATTCATCGCTTTGAAGAAATTCCTTTATAGACTGTATTAACTGAATGTTCCTCTGCTGGAAATTGTCAGGCACCAAATAAGCTCCTCGACAGGGTTTTGGCCTGCATTTGGAAAGGAGGCAAATTAACACCCTGTGCAATAGAAAGACTGAAACACGTGTTAGATTGGTTCCAATGACCCTTGGCAATCTCTCCCCATGGGGTGTGCTATCGCGTCACCCAATTACACGGGGTCCTCCCCTTAGCAACATGAGACAAGGAGATGCTGGAAGGGCATCCCCTAAGGATTACAATTCTTGCTCAGATCTTCCTGGATGGGGAGAACACTTCAAATGAAAGTTTAGTCTATTCTGGATCCAAACTGGCCTGCTCTGAAACACGCGTCTGAACCTGTGCCTACTGGTACAAGGCACACAGGCCTGGTGCACACTGGGAGCAAAGAGGAGCTATATACAAGAGGAGACATCTGCATGCGGATGATGGTTATCACGTTAGCAACCTCAAAGGGACACAAACACCTGCCTCGCCTCCCATCCCACTGCAGACATGGCCAAAGAGACCCACTTTGGAAAGATCACAAGCAAGAGTGGCATTGACAGGCTATGAGTATTTTATCAATTCCCCTCCCAAAAGCTGGGTCTGGTCTTCAGACAAATCTTTCAGTCTAGGAGCAGGTGAGAACCAGCAATCCAGTACAAGGCAGCAGCATATTTCAGCTCCTACAGGGGAGGCAAATTCACGACCATACTTCTTGCTCCAGCAAGGAGGATTCTGACACACCAATATGGAAGCAGAATGGAGAAAGGAGAGTAGATCGGAAACCTGATCCAACCTACTGTCCACCCTGTCCGTCAGCTGGAACCTCCGCAAACCCCGGCAAGGAAAAGCCCACTTTCAAAGGCAGCTTGGTTTTTACAAAGAAGGGGTGTGGGTGTGTTATGCAGGGAATTGTCACGTTTGTGCAACCCCAGAAGGGGACAGCTTTCTCTGGCAGCAAGCCAGGCTTCCCTGGGCGCGAGGCAAGGGTTTGAGGATTGCTCGGTGGCGGGTTAAGGAGAAATGTGAGGGCGTCTCAGTTGTTGAAACATGCTGCTCCTGTTCAGATTTGATCGGATTCAGTAACTGTCACCCCCCCTCTACCCAGCACCCTGAACCTGACTCCCAGGCGCTACACGAGAGATCTGAATTGGGTCCTTGCTGTCATCTCCTGCTGGCCTGGGCCAGCCCATCGCCCCAAAGCAGCAGGCAATATTCAGAAGCCCTAGCTGGAGGGATTGAGAGGCAGACTGTGCAAAGTACCATCAATTCTCAACGCGTTTTACTTACTCATTGGGCGATGCAGTGACAGGGTCAGAGACACTGGTGGATGGAACAACAGTAAAACCCGGAGGTGGTTTACTAACAGGCGCTGGCAGCCCTGGGGGCGGAGGGGGATTCTTCAATAGTGCCACGGAGTTAAACCCTGGATTAAAATAGCACAGAAAGGGGAGGCAAAGTACCATCAATTCTCAACGCGTTTTACTTACTCATTGGGCGATGCAGTGACAGGGTCAGAGACACTGGTGGATGGAACAACAGTAAAACCCGGAGGTGGTTTACTAACAGGCGCTGGCAGCCCTGGGGGCGGAGGGGGATTCTTCAATAGTGCCACGGAGTTAAACCCTGGATTAAAATAGCACAGAAAGGGGAGGAAGTTAGTGCACAGTCTATGCTACACAGCCCCCCCTCCCCCGTTCTCCCCCCCCCACAAACCCGCAGAGAGGATGCATTCCCAAGCAGCAGGACACAGCCCCCCCTCCCCCCTTCCCCCCCCCCCACAAACCCGCAGAGAGGATGCATTCCCAAGCAGCAGGCACCAGTGCATCTGAAGGGATTGATCTGCTGCTTTACAAGCCACGGATGCAGGACACCCCAAGAATTGCTACGAACTGGCTGTTCGGACACAAAGCCAAAGCCCTCGCTATTGATTTACTGCTCCCAGCAGAAAGGGCAGTATCGGCCCGGACCGGTGGAAAACATGCTGTTACAGAAGGGACAGACTGGCCAGGTGGCAGCTTTCTTAGCCCTGAACCACGCAGCCTAATTCCTCAGCCGGCTGCCATCTGGCGTCCCCCCTCACAGAGCGCTACGCTGCCATCTTCTGGGGTGTTGCCACCTTCACGAGATGCAACGGTACCGTGCTGCGACGGGTGTAGGAGACCCCCCGAACTAGGGCAATAGGCTCTCTGATTCTTCCCTGCCCTTTGGGTCATCCTTCTGCTCTCGCAGAGCTCGCAGCACGAGCGTTCCACTCTGGAGGCAGGAGGGTGGTTACGAGTGAAATGCCCTGTTAGCTACGCACACAGACGACAGTAAACTACCCAATTTGAGGGGGGTTGTGTTACTAGTTACACCCCTCATAGCAGCACGAAAAGCAAGGGCATTCGACCAGTGTAAATCCAGAGTAAACAACAGACCAAGCCTACGTGGATTTATTATTTATTGCCAGGCTGCGCCCCGGGTTCACTACACTCACCTACCCCCGTCTCTGGCCACTTTTGCTTTCGTGGCTAGATAGTGCGATGACATCATCTGTCACCCGTGGCGAAAAACCTTTATCATGTGTAGACACACACTGATCATGCTGCCAGGGACTGGTCTCACACAGCAGAAAGACAGTCTGTCCCTTTGCACGAGAGCTCCCTAACTAGCCCTTGGCACACCCAAGTGCACACGCACGCCTGGTGTGACTCAGACAAGCAGTGGTGTTTAGAGCAGCGATGGGCAACCGAGGCTAGTGAAGGGGCCGCATCAGTTGTCCCCTTGCATCTCAATGGGCCGCCCAATTGTAACCAAGCCAGTATCCCAGGTGAGGGTAGTTTTGCTCTCTGCACCCGCGTTCCCTGCATTTGCAGGGCGCGTCGACTGACTGGTTGCACTTTGATGGGACACAGAGGGAACGCCCGGCTCTCAGATAGCGTCGTGGGGAATCAGCACGCCCCTCACTTCACTTGCCCTTGCTTTACCTCTGCGTCACTTTGGTAATAGCGACAGGAAAAAAGTGACGTGGACAGAAACCAGCGGAATCCAGCAACCCTGCATGTGGGCAACAGCAAACGAACCGTGTTGCAGGCTACATGTAAAACCCCGATGGGCCTCTTGTGGCCCCCAGGTTGCCCACTACAGGTTTAGAGGCTGGCTGCTCATCTACAGCCCCCAACGGCTCTGCTGTGGAACGAGACAGGTCCCAACATTTCAATGGCGTTTTAATGGGGCGGGGGGAGTTCAAACTGCTCAATGGGGTTTCGTTGGGCTAAATGTTGCTACTTTACTCTCTCGCTCAGTGAACTACAGGAAACTGGCCCCATTTGAAGAGTAATACCCATCAAAACCCCTCCTCTCTCTGGCACGTTTCACACACCCCGTTTCTCTGAGGTACAGTCAGAATGGGACTGACTTTCTGCAGGGGTTACCTGGTGGTGGCAATCTAGATGGTCCCAAATTCCCGAGTGCTGGGAAGTCTTCCTGAGATAACGGACACTGGTTAGTCACTGGTGGCTTTTTAAGGCCAGGGGGCTCTTTGGATGCACTACAGATTGCTACTGGTTTTTCCAAGTGCCCGTTCACGACATCTGTGGTTGCGTCAGGCAGCTGCAGATTTGCAGGCACACATGGAGTCTGCTCAGCTTCCGCCAGTTGTTCCGAAGTTGCTGTGGGAGACAAGGTCTCCTCCAGCTGAGGGGATGACGCTCGTTGCTTCTCGACGCCCATCTTCTTTTTCTTGCTCACTTTAGTGAAAGTCTGTAAGGTGGAAGCTGCCAGCAAGGAGGAGACGTCAAACATCGTCGGCGTATTTCTGATCTCCTGGGTTGTCAAGCCACTGCCACCGTCTTCGTCATCGGAGGGGGAGAGTTTACTGCTCTTCCTGCTCCCTTTACTGCTCTTCGAGGGAGCTGGTTTTTTGGCTAGCTGGCTTGAACCGGAGCTGAGGGAAGGGACAGCTTTCACTGCGGTTTTATTGGAGCCATTGCTCCATGCAGACGTGAGGTTCGTCACCGTTTTAGCATTAGGCCTCATTCTGGACACCAGAGCTGGAAAATCCTCCTCTTGAAAGGCTGTTTTCTTGGCCGCAACCGTGTACGTTAAAGACGCCCCAGAAGCGAGGGTGGGTGCGGCAGAGGAAAGGCTCGGGAAGTCTTCTTCCTTCAGCTTGACAGCTGCTGGCTGAGCCAACCTGAGGGACGGGAAAACAACACCGTGTGCAGCAGTCACCGGGCCAGCACAGAGGAGTCACCAAGCCACCGGGTAGAAAGAGCTCAACATCTAAGTGCAGTTTCCCCTAAAAAATACCACCGCTTAGAGGAGGCATTGAGACTCTCAGGCAATTGGAGATAAAATTCAAATGCAGGTGTGCTTACAAGCAAGTTGCATGTTACAAAAGCCCTCCCGCAGAGATGTCACATTGCAAGCCTAGTGGGACTTCTAGGCCCGGACGTGGGACTTCTAGGCCCGGACGTGGATGCTGCCTTATCAGGCTCGCATTTCGTACACAGCAGAAGCAATCGTGGGCATTAGAGGGGCACTCCGGTAGCCACCAGCTTTGCAAGGGTCACCTGGTAGCCCTGTTAGACCCACCACGGCTTCAAGGGAAGTTATTCCGTCACGCTCCCCTCTCTACATGCTGGCTCTCGACTGGAGATAAGAAACTTGTCTGAAGCAACCTTTAGAATAGATCAAGCAAGCCTGGGGGAGCGACAGCCTATGCCACTGAGGCCATGTGGGTAGAATGCATAGCCAGAATCTGGGGTCAGCGGTGTAATTTCTCAGAAATAATTTAACTTCAGCTTATCTGCAGAACTCAGACCCCAGGTGAGCCCATGACCCAGCCTTCATTTTGCTATGATCTTGCCCAAACTTACCGCAGCAGAGGTCCTGCGGCTGAACCAATCGCTGGAAAGTCATCTTGGCTTAAAGCACCATTAGCAGCTGCTTCTTTGGGAACTTTGAGAGAAAGACCAAAGAAAAGCTTTTAACTCAGCCCTGGAAGCCACTAACCTGCGTCAGTGCACCCAGACTAGTTCTAATTTGGCACTTTATGCTGCTCTTCACTGGGATACTTTAATCCAGAAAAACGCACAAGCACTTGACACTACTGTCAAACTGCACTTTTCCATTCTGATCAGTACATGTGCTACTGTGTCACCATGCCCCAAGTTTATATCACAGCATGTTAGCTATAGTCAAGAACAGTGACAGGAAGCCACTGGGTTGTTTAGGACAGGTTTGATTCTTGACTTCAAAATAATTATGTTAAATGCCATATAAATCTTCCATATATTTTATGATCCTGCAGTTCACGAGCCCTTGAACATTTTCCATAGTAGGGAAGGCTCAAATCTCCACAAGGATCAGTTGCACCTGCTTTCAAGGCCTTTCCATTCATAGTCTTACTTCAGTTGGTTTTATAATATTTATTTTAATTCATGCAACAGGAACGTTTAACGCCTGTTACAAAATGACATTAACACACCAGTACTTAGTCCAAAATGGCCTCACTTGAAAAGTACCACATGGGAGGCCTTCGCTGTCTGATTCTAGTGATTTGGACGCCACGGCAGGATGTTGCACACTTTGATTTGATTCTATTCGGCTTAGGGATGTGAACAACTAGTCAGAAAGAGGCAGCCGGGGGGAGGAGAGGAAACAGGTGATTCTTCAAAGCAGCAGCACCGCATGGAGCCCGGGGCCAGACCCTGGGCTCCACATGGCACTGCCACTTTGAAACGCCACGTGCAGACTGGGGCCAGCTGGGGACTCCCCTGCTAACGCCAGGCTGCATGCGGCGCTGCCGCATTGAAACGCCACAGGGAGCACGGGGCTTGTGGGGGATTGCTTGAGTCCCTTACTAGCCCTGTGCTCCCTGCAGCGCTTTCACCTTTCAAGTGTAGCAACAGCCCTGGGACTGTTGCTACATTTCAAAGGCGGAGGTGCCCTAGTGGACTAATTGAATAGTCGACGTAAATTGCACCCACTATTCAATTAGCCCAGGGGTGGCCAAACCATTCTGGGCACAGAGCCAAGATAGCAGTGGATCCAGTGCAAAGAGCTGGGGCAAAGTTGTCGAGGGGGAAAAAAAAAAAAAAAAAGCCTCTGCCCCTTTAAGAAAACGCATTTAAACGTGTTTTGAGGCTTTTTGGCCACAGCAGGCTCCTGACACCATCTTTAAGTCTACATCTTTTATGGCCATGCTGGATGGCTCCCCTGCCCAGGTCGGTACAGGGAGCCGGGAGGAGAGGGCCGTTTTTGGGGAGACTGCTTACGAGCCCCCGGGGGAGAGGGGAGGGAGGGAGAGGTAGGAGGAGCTGCATGCGGATCATAAACCTCGGGTTGGCCATGGCTGAATTAGCCGATTAATTTAAATTTAACATCCCTAATTAGGCTGTACAGCAAGTCACATATATTTTGGTTGTTCCTATTTAAAATGGATCTGGGCAGAAATACTTGAACACAAGGCTGGAATCCCAAAGCAAGGAATTACACATGGACGTGTTTCAAGGTAGGCTAGCTGGGTAGGTCTCTAATGGCCAAAATCAGTGGTTTGCCGTGTGGGCCATAACCAGTCACACCTTTTACCCATGACATTTGGAACTCTCTCCAGCCCGCAAAACACACATGTAACTAACCTGTGGCTTCATTTGAAGGCTTTGGCACTCGCTTAGTGTTGGACACTTCTGAGTCCTTTGATTCTTCTTTTTTACCTCGACTGACATCTTCTTTATCCTCTACTTGTTTCTTTTCTTCTTGCCGTTTTGCTGCCATTGATGCCCTGACTGCTGCTGCAACATCTCGGTCTTCTTCTTCCCTGTCGGACAGGACAGGGTTTTGGTAAACTAGACAGAACGAGTGGGCCTGAAAGCATTTTTGTCTCACACCACCCTTCACCTTCAAATGTCACATTCAGACCACTTTCTGTCAACTGCCTGTTGCTGCCACCTGCTGGGAAAGGTTGCAACTGACCCTCATCGTCATTCATCCAATCACACCCAGGTTCCGCTGTAGTAAACCAGGAACCATTCACTTTTCAATTCCACAGAGGGCGATAGCCAGTATCGGAGCACAGCAGAAACCAGGATGACAATATCAGAGATGGATGGGACCACTGAGCTCCCCCATTCATTTCCAACGTAGGAAACTTTGGGTGATATGGTTCATCGTGAACTTCCAACACATGCAAGATCCACATGCAACACACCAACATATACGGTGCTTGGAGATGGATTGTTCCAGTGAAGTTACCAGTAACAAAGGCACCACAGATGGCCCAACAAGACAGAAAAAAATAGACGTAGAATCGGTAGGTATAAGCTCTTAGATATCGTGTAGATGAAAGGAGATAAAGTGCAGTTTAATTTCGATACTTAACCCTCTTCTTTTTCCAAAGCACTCAGTCTGGCCAACCAGAGATCTGTTAGTTCAATAAAAAAAAGTATGGCCCTCAAAACAGGAATTTAATGACTGGCCAAACCTAAAGAGGTCTGCTACACCTGTAAAGAATCTTAGAACTGGAAAGGACTTTGAGAGGTCATCAAGTCCAGTCCCCTGCCCTTGCAGCAGGACCAAAAACCACGCAGATCATCCCTGATAGGCATCTGTCTAACCTGCTCTTAAATATTTCCAGTGATGGAGATTCCACAACCTCCCTAGGCAATTTATTCCAGCGTTTCGCCACCCTGACAGTTAGGAAGTTTTTCTAATGTCCAACCTAATTCTCTCTTGCTGCAGTTTAAGCTTCTTGTCCTAGCCTCACAGACTAAGGAGAATATCTTTTCCCTCCTCCTTGTGACACGTTTTTAGGTACTTGTAAGCTATTACCATGTACCTAAAAGGTTATTAAAAGGCATGTCAGTTCCTTCAGAAAATCCTTAAGACAAGTTCAGAATGAACACAATGATCTTAAGGCCAGAAAATTCCCAGTTGCACTAACCCACCTGTTGGAGAGTTTAGGAGAGCTATAAGATTACAATGTTCAACTCCTTTGACAAGTGCAGAGAGTGGAAATTTCTCATAAAATAGTTTTGTTTCACTGTGGGCATGCGGAGTCCAGATTTCTAAGGAAGACTAATCACAACCTTATCTAAGAAGTTGGTACTGCAGTTCTCACTTGCCCCCACCCACCCACCAATACACCATTCCAGAGCTGGGACTGGAAAAGGAACCTCAATAGATCCTCTTATCCGGTCCCCAGTCCTCGAGGCAAGACTAAGTAATAACCAGACCATTCCTGACAGAGGTTTAAGAACAGATTAGACTAAACTTCCCATGATGGAGATTCCAGAACCAACCTGGGCAATTTATTCCAGTGCTTCTCTACCCTGACAATTAGGAATTTTTCCTGATATCCAAACAAAACCTCCTTTGCTGCAATTTAAGTCCATTGCTTCTTGTCCTAGCCTCACAGGTTAAGGAGAACAATTTTTCCTCCTCCTCCTTGTAACAACCTTTTAGATACTTGAAAACTTATACCCGCCCCGCCTCCCCCCCAGTCTTCTCTTCTCCAGACTAAACAAAATCAATTTTCCCCTCTTTCCTCATAAGTCATGTTTTCTTGACACCACACTCCAGCTGAGGCATAGCATGGTGTGGAACAGAGGAATGACTTCTTGTGTCTTGCTCATGACACTCCTGTTGATACATCCCAGAATTATGTTCGCTTTTTTTTTTTTGCACAGCATCACTCTGTTAACTGCTATTTAGGTGTGATCCACTAAAACCCCTAGATCCCTTTCCACTTCTTCCTAGGCAGTCATTTCCCACTTTGTATCGTGCAACTGATTGTGCTTCCAAAATGCAGTAGTTTGCATTTGTCCTTTTCTGAATGTCATCCTATTTACTTCAGACCATTTCTCCAGATCATTTTGAACTTTGATCCTCTCTTCCAAAGCACTTGCAACCCCTCCTAGCTTGGTATTGTTTGCAAACTTTGTAACTCTTTGTAAGAATATATTATTGTGAGCAAGACACAAGAAGTCATTCTTCAGCTCTACTCTGCACTGTTTAGGCCTCAGTTGGAGTATTGTGTCCAGTTCTGGGCACCACATTTCAAGAACGATGTGGAGAAATTGGAGAAGGTCCAGAGAAGAGCAACACAACTTATTAAAGGTCTAGAAAACATGAGCTATGAGGGAAGATTGAAATAACTAGGCTTGTTTAGTTTGGAAAAGAGAAGGTTGAGAGAGGACATGATAGCGGTTTTCAGGTATCTAATGGGGTGTCAGAGGGAGGACGAGGGAAAATTGTTTCCTTGGCCTCTCAGGATAGGACAAGAAGCAATGGGCTTAAACTACAGCAAGGGAGGTTTAAGGTTGGACATTAGGAAAAACTTCCTAACTGCCAGGGTGGTTAAACACTGGAATAAATTGCCCAGGGAGGTTGTGGAATCTCCATCACTGGAGATATTTAAGAGCAGGCTGGACAGATACCTAATCAGGGATGAGCTTGACAGTGTTTGGTCCTTCCATGAGGGCAGAGGACTGGACCTGAAGATCTCTCGAGGTCCCTTCCAGTTCTAATGTTCTACGATTCTATGATCATTTAAGAGAGAAACTATTTCACCTTCAACAGTAGGTTCTCGGGCACACTGTGCTACTCACCTCTTATATCTCCAGCTCCCTCTTCTGTTTTGCTGCCCTCCTCGGAGTCCTGATCTCCCGCCTCGGCCTTGCCTGTTATATCTGTCGATTTCTTCATAGTCCTCTCCACCTACGACACCTGATCAGGAGACATGTCCCATCATTCTCAATTATTTTTCTAATTTAACATAACACAACACCCTAGCTCCACAGATGATTCTGAAAGCCACGGACCTTTCCTGACATGCAGTCAGCAGCCATGATTTTTACAGAACCACCTAGCCTTCACCATTATCACACTAAAAGGCGTTTAGCTGTATATGGAATCTATATAGTATGGGATTGTGATTCAAGTTCAGGGCAAATTTCTATCTTGATATGCAGCAATTTCCAAGAAAGTAAAAAATATCCAGGTATCTCCATGCACTCAGTACCAGATGTCTCCCTCTAGGTACCCAGGTTATCACTCTCAATCCATATTATCTGTATCCCAAGCAAGATCAGAAAGTCAGCTATGAAAATAATCGCCTTATTTTAAAATGGGACATGAGAGTTTTCAGTCCTCATGTGGCTAACTGCCCCACTGTGTTTCTGAGAACTTTCAAAGCCTTAAGGAATCAGAAGGTATTTCTGGCAACTTACTCTTTCCAGTCCGACTTACCCTCATTCCTCCGTTGGTGCCTAGGGGCATAGTTGAACTGAAGATCTATCTGCCGGTTCTGTCTGGCCTCAGCCCTGTTCTTGCTGTGGCAGGCTGTTTTGTGGGCCTTGTAATCTATTTCTGTGCGGAAAGCATGTGTGAACTGCTCTGTATTGCACTGTCCCTCTTCACAAAGGAAATGCTTCTCCCGGAAGTGTTCGCGAAGGTATTCGTAATCGCTGGGAAGAGGGCAGGCACTGGTTAGCTCAAGGATGCAGTCAATTTAAAAGCTGTTCATTCTTTAAAACCCTTTGAGTGTTGTCACGCCCTGTTGCAAACTCCAGAATAGCAGCCTTCTGAACATATTTCTCTGTGTGTCGTGACAACAGTTTAATGTAGGTCCTGGAGAAAGTAAACCAAATTCACGGCAGGATGCCTCATTGACCATGTCACATTAGGCCTGCAGAAAAGCCCCTTCATGAAAGGAACTTTATTCAGATCTTTTCCCCAAATAAACCTTAGCCCATTGGCTACTGTGGGCTTATGTAGCAGAGCTGCAGAAATTGCCACAGAACTGCACTCCAGGATCTAATGTTTTTGTGTTTAGCCTTCAACTGTGAAGAAATCTTAAAAGAATGAACTGGATATAAATAGATGAAGGGCTGTACGAATCAAGATCTCATACGTGTGAACTGTTGCCATTCACCTTCCTGTGTTAACGTACAGCCAAAAAGAGGACAGATTTAATGTCAAACACTAAAATTTCCCAAATATGGCTCAGCCAAACCCTTGGCCTTCCCTCGTGACAATGAAGCACTACCAAATTCACTTAAACCGAAAGTGAGGGAAAAGTCATAAATACATTGATTGTAAACACAAAACCAGAGCAGCTGCTGTGCCTATTAAATATTTCTTTACAAACCTCCTTTCCTTTATTAAATGTAAAGCAGCTCAGCATAGCCAGTCTGCCACTGAGAAATACTGCTGAGGTCAGGGGGTTTGCCTCTTGCCACTATTTTTAAGGCCAATTCACTACATAGCACATGGTATCTCTCATTCATCTATAGAGGTTTACACAGCTTTTAGATTTCAATGGCTCTGTCTGCACAGATAGCGTGACAAGCAACACATACATCCCATTTTCAGCACAGCAGGTCTCTGTTAGCTTCAAGAGACAAGCAGCTGAGCAGGCAAAAAGCTGTCTGTCAGTCCCAGGGTTCCACTCTCAATGCAAAGTCAAACAACGATCAAACGCAATCTGCTCATTCTTGGGTTGGGTGCCTGTGCACAGCTGACTCTCAGGGACTCAAAGCAGATGCAACCACCTTTCCATCAAGATTTAAATCTTAAACCGAATTCAAAGACACCCATGTCAGCCACTTGCACAAACCTGTAATATTCCTGAGCACCATCTGAATCACAAAAGTGGCAGAAATAGTGATCACGTCTCAAGTGTTTCAGTAACTCATCGTTGTCTAAGTAACGCTCATCGCAGAATTTACAAAGAGGATGCCCGCGATGAGATGTGTCGTCTGGGTCCCCGTGTATTCGATGTCGAGCGAGGTCTTTGCGGGAATACCACTTACGTTCAGACGTAAAGATCTTAAAGAAAGAATTTACCTCATGTCAACAGAGAGCTGCGCCGTTTTATGATGGAGTAAATCAGGTTCTACCAATCTTGATGACATTGGCCTACGTTACTAGTCAAAGCAATGTCCCACTTTCGAGCTATGAACAATCTGTGGTTGAATGGTCCCGTGAATGAGAGTAAGAATGCAAGTCCCTCTCCAACTTAAATCTAATTTCACCCTTCTGGAACAATGAAAACAGACCTGCAAGTTTCACTTTTGCTCCTAGTAAATTTTGTTTCATGTGCTAATAATGCAGCAAAGTTTGGATTACAACTCTGTGGGAACAGTCTTTAAATCAAAGCCATTTTCTGAAAATACCTAGCATTCTGCCTACCCAAGACTGGAAAAAATGTAAAATGAAATGAGTCGGCTGTTATGCATTTGGTAACATTCTTCATAGAGCTATTGGATGCGATGCCTATATACAAACACTTGCTCAGTCCTCCACTGGTGCACCACTAACCAACATCTTCGCTACTGGAATGGAATTTTTCTCTCTGGGAAGAGCGCTTATAAAACTGAGGATACCAACAAAACACACATATACACAAAAGACATTAGGCATTGAGTCTCAGAGAGGTAGTTAGTCTAACTTTAAAAACACCTTAGAGACTAACAAAAATATATAGGTCATGAGCTTTCATGGGTAAAACGCACTTCGTCGGATGAGCTGGAGTGGAAATAACAGAATCCAAGATATATACAACAGCAAAAGCAGTTACCTGTCAGTTGTAGGACCAAAGTGAACCAAAAAATGTACATTGCCAAATACTCTCCAAAATCTAGTAGCGGATATCCCATGTAAATCTTGTCTAGACCAAGAGTATGAAACTCATCTTGGGCCAGGATTACTCTGGCTTCATTATCATCAATAGACAAGAGCAGCTTCAGTTCTCAGTGGAACTAGGACCTTCTTTTCCACAGATGCTGTCTAGATGTAGTTCTCCAAATATGAAATGCTCATAGACTCATAGACTTTAAGGTCAGCAGGGACCATTATGATCATCTAGCCTGACCCCCTGCACAGTGCAGGCCACAGAATCTCACCCACCCGCTCCTAGAATAATCCTCCCACCTAGATCTCAGATATTGAAGCCTTCAAATACTTTGAAGACCACAAGATGCAGAGAATCCTCCAGCTGTGATATGTACCCCATGCTACAGAGGAAGGAGAAAAACCTCCAGGGTCTGGGAAAGCATGAAGCACTATACAACTACTATTACTGTGCTGGTTTCTTATCAATAAGGCTAAGACTGTGTCATGGATACTTTTACTAAAAGTCACAGACAGGTCACAGGCAATGAAGAAAAACTCACGGAAACTGTGACCTATCTGTGACTTACTAAAAATATCTGTGACAAAATGGGGATCTCTGCGGGTTTTCACAACACCTGCAGCAGGGCAGCTCGGGTGCCCTCCACTGCCCATGGTGGCCAGGAGCTGTAGGGGTGCCTGGGAGCTGCGGAGTGCCCCTCACCACCTATGGCAGCCAGGAGCGGCAGGGGCTGCTTAGGCGATGGAGATACCCCATAGCTCCCTGCTGACGGAAGCACCATGCACCTCCCAAATGCCATAACCAGAAGTCATGGATTATGTGACTTCTGCAACCCCTGTGATTAAATCACAGCCTTACTTTAGCAATACCCAGCTACAGGCCGATTCTCTCTCATGCAGTCCACTTAAGTGCCCATGGCCGACCTGTTATTTCCTACTCCATTTCAGTGAAAGTAAAACAAACAACCAACCACACAAAAACTGTGAGGATTGCCAAATATATTGTCTTCATGGTTGGAAGGAATCCCATCCCTCACATTAACCTACTGCTGGCAAGTAGCAGGCATATTGGAGGTTAGAGGTAACAAGCATTCTTTCAGCCACAGCTGAACCACTGCAGCTAGAGGGCAGCTTTATACTCGGAACACTCAAATTTAATCTTTCAGATGGCATAAAACATTGACTGTCTAGCTGTCCCCAGACTCAGACTTCAAGACCGAAAGGTTATCATTACGATCATCTAGTCAGACCTCCTGCCCATCGCAGGCCACAGAACGATGGCCATTAAAAACTGAGTCCACGAAGGGAAAAAGATAGCAAAATACGCACTTTTAAGGCCCCCTAGTAAACTGTCAAGGCGAGAGGCAACTCAACTTTCCAACGGATGTAGTGTTGAAAAACAGGTTTTAACAGTCACGGATCGCTGTGTAGGTGAGCAATTTAAATACAGCAGATCTGAGCCACAGGTAAGTAGGGTTCACCCCCGATGTCACCACCACTTTATAGCACTTTGGAGACCCATGGCATTAACCACACATGGGGTGGAGCAAACATCGAGGTTTTTTGAGATGGCTGGGCTATACCTACTACCTATATACAGGCAGTCCCTGACTTACGTGGATCCGACTTATGTCTGATCCGCACTTACGAACGGGGCTTTTCTCGCCCCAGAGCTCACGGGCGGCGGGTCGCCACCCGTGTCCTCCGGGGCGAGAAAAGCTTCTCCCGGTCTCTCTGGCCTGCTGGGGGGGGGTCCAGCAAAGCCACTGGACCCCCCCAGCAGACCAGGGACACCCGAGCAAAGCCGCCCAGGCGGCGGGAGTCCCGCTGCCTGGGCAGCTTTGCTCGTTTGCCCCGGAGCAAAGCCGCCCAGGCAGCGGGACTCCCCCCGTCTGGGCGGCTTTGCTCCTGTCCCCCCCCTCCTCT